GAGGATAGGGAACCTGAAATGACCCTATCCCATAGCAATACTGACTAATATCTTTCATATCACCATAGAACCTTCATCTGGTGATGGATGGAGATAGAGACAGAGACCCACACTGGAGCACTGGACTGAGCTCCCAAGGTCCCAATGAGGAGCAGATGGAGGGAGAACACTTTTTTTTAAAAGATTTTTTCTTTCCTTTAATATGTGTGTTTGCCTGCATTTATGTATGTGTTCCACATGTGTGCAGTTCCCTCAGAGTCATAAAGAGGGGACATTGGCTCCCTGAAGCAATAGTTACAAGTGGCCATGACACTACCATGTGGGTGCTAGGAACTAAACTCATGTCCTCTGCAAGAGCAAATGCTCTTAACCACTGATCTGTTGACAGAGCTTTCTGTCCCACCATGTCCCATATCTGTTTAGTCCTGAATAAACACACAGAGGCCTCCATTAATTATAAACTGATTGGCCTATTAGCTCAGGCTAATTATTAACTCTTATAACTTTTATTAGCCCATAATACTTGACTATGTTAGCCAAGTGGCTTGGTATCTTTTTCTGTGAGGCAGGCACATCTTGCCTTGTCTGTGTTTGGCTTCCTCTGTGTCTGGATGACAATTGCAGACTGAATCTTTTCTCTTCCCAGAATTCTCCTGTTCTCATTGCCCTGCCTCTACTTCCTGCCTGGCTACTGACCAATCAGCATTTTATTAAACCAATAAAAGAAACAAATCTTTAGAGGGTAAAACCATTGTCCCACAGCACTGAGCCCTCTGTCCGGCCCCTGAGTTGAGGTTTTAATTCTGTTTTTTTCACTAAGGGATACAAAGGTGAAGTTCCTGGGCCCCAAATCCTGGGGTGGTCGTGGTTAGGGCTGTTGGAATCAGGTGCTCACTGAAAGCAGATTCTGTACGGCATGGAGGGCACCACCAATTGAGCCTTCAGCTCGTTTCTCGGTGTCCAAGGAGCATAGACTGTGTGGTCCTACAGCATCTCTCCAGACCTGTCTAGGGATCCAGGCTGGCTGCTCACTGGCTACTGGATAAGGCTTTCTGAACCTTATCCTGAATGGTGCCCCTCCAGTATTTCCAACTGAGCATTAGTACCTTAAGGACCCTCGGCGCTGTCCTGTTAATTGTGGCCACTGAACAACAGTAATCTACACAGACCCTCACCATGTTTGCTTTTTAGGGGAAAAATGATTCCACTGAGAGACATTTTTCAAGTAATTTTACTAGAAGTGAGGAAAGGCTGAAGTTGACTGTGACATTTGCTGGTTGGGTCTTTATTCCACAGTGTAACATCTGGCTATTCAGCCTTGCCCTGAGTTAACTAAACCTCTGGAGAACAAAACCAGATGAAATCGACCTCTCATTTTTATTCCATTTCCTAGAAAGCTGTTGGTACTGAGTTCAGATGCCAGTGCAGAGGAAGCCAGCCCCTCCTAAGCCACAGTCTGTGCTAGCCCACTTAGAAACAGCAGCAGAGGTTCCAAGTCCTCTGTGTTGTTGTGGCAGCAATGGTGACCCCTGCTCCACCTGAGGTCTCCTGGTGATCCCTATGGTGGGAAGTGGCACCTTAATCCTCCCAACACCCAGGATGTGCCACCCGAGAACATCACACAGCACTAGCTCCTTGGCCTACAGAACTCCTAAAAGAAGTACAGTGGACACCAAATTCAGAAGGAAAAAAGTCAGGGAAATCTGAGGTCACTTCACAGACATGAGATACTTGCAACTGTGATGACCACTGTGTGATGGACATTGTTTGATAAACGCCATGTGGTGGTCACTGCATGAAGGTCACATGTAATGACCATGTGATTGACACTGAGTAATGGCCACTCATTGATAGTCACTGTGTGATGGCCACTGAATGATGGACATCATTGTGTGATAGACACCATGTGATGGTCACTGTGTGATGGCCACTGAACGATGGCCAAAACAGCACTTGCTTCTCTCAAGGCCAGGTCCTGTGGTGGGAATAGAGAAGGACTGGACACCAGCACCAAGACTCAGTAAGCTGGCTCTCAGGGTTCCTGCCCTGGTAAGCTCAGACAAGGACATTTCTTGTGCTCTGAACATGTTCCCTTAAGTCCTGAAATATGGGAAAAACTCTTCCCAATGCACTATTCATGGGAACAAGGTCATGTTTATGACCGCATCTCTCACTCTACCTGGCAAAATCTAGGCACTCAATAAATGGCACTGAGTCTGAAATTGACAGGAGAAAATTAGAAGAACAACGTTAGCCAGGTCTGGTGACACAGGCCTCCGACATGTGGCCGAAGCAGGAAGAGAGTGAGTTCAAGGCCTGCCAAGGCTATGGAAGGATATCAGAGGCAGTCTGTGCAACTAAACGAGATCCTGCCTCAACATAAAAAGTAAATAGGGCTGGGACTGTGTAGTTCAGTGGTAGAGTCATTCCTGGCTTATGTGAGGCCCTGGGTTTAGTCTCCAGTACCACAAGAAAGAATTACCATCCAGTAGACACTGAGTTAGGAACCTGACTAATTGGCTTACACACATCATAAGCTGGCCTGCCATGGGAAAGATGCTAGCAGGGTCCTTAGCATTCACTCATTTTCACGGGGTGGAAGGCTTTCCCCTGGAGATGCAGCAGGGGTTATCCCCTTAATTTCAGTAGGTTGCCAGAACATTGGGGTTGACATTAAAAGGAACTTCTTGCAACTGTGGCCACAGCTTCTGAGCTGTGCCTCTTCTTGTAGCTCAGTTCACACCGACCACGAGCCATATGCCAGCATCCAGTTTGTACATAGCCTTGCCTGGAGCTGTCCAGCCCACATGGCACAGGACTGGCAGTAAAGAAAGAAAGTCTCTGCTCTGCATCTGTTCAGTTGGAGGTTAGCAGCCTTATTGGCTCAATGACACTGTGTCCCCCCACAGCACAGTGGCACTCCAACACAATTCCACTGGTGGCACCCAGATTTACATAGCTTCCTGAAAGTTCATGACAGTGTAACTGTCACATTTGAGACAGCAGAGCTTCAGCTATTTTCTGAATTTTCAATTAGATTTTTCAATTAAATTTTTAATTAGATTGCCTTTTGAGTAGATTCATTTCCACCATGGAGAAGCAGCAGAGGAAATGTCCATGGCAAAGAAGAGCAAGCACAAGGAGGAAGACAGTTAAAATTTGTCTTGCAGGAAATGCATGAAGGTGATGAGATACTCCGGGTATGCTTGGTTGTCATAGAACACTACAAACAAACTTGGTTTTTTCTCATCATCTGTGACAGTGTCGTACAAGTCAGTAGGATTTTTAGGGTCCCGTGGAGGAGGCACAATCAGTGACTGGTTTCCAGTTGTGTAGTTTCCAGTGAGAACCCGCACGTAATACATATACTTCTTCCCATTGGCGTCTGGTCTGGAATATGTATCAGCAGCTGAATAGGAAGCATTGACAGCAAAATAGGTTCCCTTCCCATAGCATGTGGCTGCAAAAGGAAAGACATTTTAAGTAGTTCAGCATAGCATATGAATCAACATGTTAGCCTAATATGTCAATTAATGTAAAAGGAATGCTCAGCATGAATATATGAATATTTCCTTGAACATCATCATCATCATTGTTATTATTAATTTTCTTCCTCAAAGAGATAGTCAAGACCTTGGGGTGAATTGAAATTCATTACTGTTACAATGTGAGAAACACAGTGACTGAAGCACAGAGTGGTTCCAAGTCAGCAGCCCCTTTGGGGAAACTGACTGAAACCTTCCTCACCATTCTTCCCAGCATAGCTGCGGTTAAATCCATTGCTGTTGAGATGTGGAATAGAGCTAGCCTCTGTCCCATGGAAGAGTTGTTTCTCATTTCTTTCATGGCCATTCTTTTCATCCATAATTTTTTTGTTTGCCTGGTACCTCCTCCAGAGAGCAGGATTCTGGATCCTTTCGATCTATAAATTAATAAAGTATGGAGTTATTCTGGAGATGCCAAGAGCCCTTGCCAAGTGACAGCCAACTACCTCCTTTGTCTTTCATGAGCAAAAATTCTACTCAAGCAAATTCAGTGCCAAATGACAGCGTCCTATAGTCAGAAATATTTTTCGAACTGGTAAGACAGCTCAGTAAGAATATGGTGACCTGAGTTCGATCCCTAAAGTTGGAAGGAGAACACTGACTCCACAAAGTTACAGTCTGACTTCTCCATGTGTGAACAATACCATCCCTCCAACCCTTCTACACATACACACAAACACACACATGCACGCACACACACACACACCCATGCACATGCATAGGGATGCATGCGCGTGCACACACAAACACACACACAGACAAGGCAGTCTTACTGGCCTGGAGTTAATACACCAAGTTACATTGGCTAGATAGGTGCTACAGTTTCAGGCTGTTGTAAGCGACCTGATGTGGGTCTGTGAACCAAACTTGGAACTTGGGGTCCTCTGAGAGCACAAAAGAAACTCTTGACCCATGGGCCACCTCTACAGACCCATATATGAGTGGGTTTATTCAGGAACATGGGTAATATCACTTACTTAACTATGTAACATTTCCATTAGAAAACTCAGCACCCGGCTTACCTTCTCTATGATGATGCTCTGGCAGGTCTGGTGGAACTGGTTTGCCACCGTGACATACTCAGGATCACTGGTTTGCAGACTGACCACAAGCAATTTCTTCTGCCCCATGTCGCTCCAATTTGAAGGGATTTCAGCTGCAAAATAGACATTTGAGGGCTCCTGTGTTTATATCTGGTATGCTTTGATAAAACCTGCCTCCCTTTTGTATTATAGTCTTATAAATCTATGTATACAAGAAATTTCTTATTTTCCTAAAAGGAAATGTTATTAAAAGTGTGAAACATGGACCATTGGTATCAGGATGAGATGGAAAACTTGTTTAGAAGAGGCGGATGAATTAAGGTGAGATAGTGCAGTGGTAGATCTCTTACCTGACACATATGAGACTTGTTTCCCAGCACCCTCTCCAGAAGAAGACAAAAGCCATCCATGTACTGAATTAGAGTTTCCTAGGGATGGAGCCTCTCTGCCTACTCCTGTTTTGGTCTTTCTAAGGTGTGAGAAGTGACTACATGCTGTAACTCACCTTCATTTAGTGCACAGCCTCTACTCTGATGTGATTTAACAAATTCATTACTAACTTGTTTTGAACAATCTCTGTCATTTGCACATGAATGAGTTTGTACCACTGGAGGGTAGTCTACATGTATTTTCTCATTTGCCTCATTCCCTCCTTAAGAGGTAGGTGGGTAGATGGTAGGGTTTTTCTGTGGCAGGCTGTAGAATACCACATATTATATGTCATTCTTCCAGGGTGGCTTAGAGTCTAGGGGTTCATTCATACTGATCCTACAGAAGATGACTAAAGTCTGTGGGAAGCCATTGGGGGACTCATGTGGTCTGAGGGCAGGAATTGTCAGCCTACACAAGACAGCCACTCCCTTCCTGGGGATCAGATCTACAGGGAACCTGTAGGCCTTGACCCGGCCTGGTACCCAGGAACCTTTGGCACAGGAAAGAGAAGATGGTAATAGAATTGGGGTCTTCTCTTGGTCATCATCATGGACACAGTGACCAACTTTAACAAGTCTGTCTGTCTGTCATCTCCTTGGCCTTTTATATTCTTCAGAACCTTGGGCAGCTTTTATTCTGAAACTATTTTTTTTCTATGTCTGCCTCAGGCAGCATTATTTGACCAGAAGAACTGATCCAGTATAAATGATCCAGATGGAAAATGCAAGGTTAACTGTTGTTACAGTTAAGATGGTTCTTCTTGGGCTGTTGAGATCATCCATGCTCTATTTTCCTCGCCATAGTGTATTCTCTAGAAACTTAGAAACCAAGATCTTTAAATTATTCTACCAGTGTTATTTGAATTTTAACTACTTTAAAATTTAATATAACAGACCAGGCGGTGGTGGCGCAGGCCTTTAATCCCAGCACTCAGGAGGCAGAGGCAAGAGGATCTCTGTGAGTTCGAGGCCAGCCTGGTCTACAAGAGCTAGTTTCAGGACAGGAACCAAAAAACTACGGAGAAACCCTGTCTTGAAAATCAAAAAAAAAATTAATATAACAGAGCATGTGTGGCTCATGCCTTTAACCAAAGCATTTGGGAGGCAGAAGCAGGCAAATCTCTGAATTTGAACCCAGCCTGGTCTATGTTCGAGACCAGCCATGGCTATTAGTGAAACACTTCCTTAAAAACAAAACAAGAGTTCCAGGCCAGCAATGGCTAAATAATAATACATTGTCAAAACAAAACAAGCTGGGTGGTGGCTGACACCTTTAATTCCAGCACTAGAGAGACAAAGGTAGGATCTCTATGAGTTTGAGACAAGTCTGCTCTAGAAGAGTTAGTTCCAGGACAGCTAGGGCTCTTACACAGAGAAACCCAGTCTCAAAAAGAAAAACAAACAACAACAAAACCCTGCTTTGTTTCTAAAATAATGTAAAGCTCAGAGTTGGGGCAATGGCTGACATTCATGAGCACATAACTTACTTTCATCTTTTAAGATGCGCTGCACAGTGATATTCTGTCCTTGAGGGCCTGTGGCCGTGTTTGTGCTCAAGTTCACTGTGAAGTCCTGATTATTAATTTTGACAACAGTGCTCCTGTGCTTTGCCTGCCGTGCGTTCTCCAACTGCATGGTAGTTATTTTATCGAAACAGTGTGTGACGTTGTTGACAATATATCGCCATTCCACGAATGTGAGGACATAGTCTGCCTGGCTTTCCTTCTCTTTAGCCAATCGGATGCTCTTGATCAGGTTTTCAATCTCATCTCTGGCTTCTATCACATCTCTGCTGATTCCTGTAACTTTAATCAAAGCTGTCTTCTGGTCCAGCTCAATGACGATGTTCAGCCTCTCCTGCAGCTCATTCAGCTTCTTGTACTCCTTCTCACCAAAGTCTCTGACACACTCATCATCACTGCTATAGGATAGCTGCTCCTGGGTGATCAGGTTCTGTATCCAGGAGATCGTGTGTTCCACACTGTCTTCATCTTTGCCACATACCTGGAAAACTGTCTGTTCTATTTTCTTCTCCAAAACCAGGGTGTTCTGTTTGTGCGGAGTGTCCTTTAAAAAGTCAAAAAGGGCTAAAGAGAAAATGAAATTTAGTATTTTCTTTACTCCCCTCAGCATCAAGGGGGGGGGGGAATATGTATTTGATAAAAGCGGACAACTCACAGGTGATCATAGACAGTAGAGACGGCAAGGGAGGAGCTGGGGAGCCTTCTCTGTGTTTCATGTTGTCATAAAAAACACTCAGGATATGAGGTTGGAAGATAACAACTTTGACTTTCTTCACAGCCTGCACTGATGTTTTCTGGATAAATTCTTCAATGGCATCCATTATGGCTTTAGCAACTGCATCTGGGTCCTGTTGAGCACTTCCTTTAAAAACACACACAAAAGACAAGGATAAGATCCACCTGCAGAAGGCTGCTACATAAACAAGGAATTCCAGATGTCACAGGAAAAAAATGCCTGGCCCTACACCAATTGCTGTACAGTTTCCAACATGTTATTATCAAATAGTTTTCACATCCTAGACACAGTGGGGAGGAGTTTCTGTTCCATGCTGTCGGAAGGTCAACACTCCAGGTAAAGCCCCTGAAACCTGTTCTGATTTGTGACACTCACATCTGTCCTTTTCAGCTGATTCTGGTTCCCAGGGTCACTCCCCTCCCATTACAGAGTACAGGTGGCTTTCCTCCCTTGATTTACTAGAGTTTTCATAAGATCATAAAAGGCAGGGAAAGAAGATAATACACCTTGAAACAACATGGTTCTTCCAGAGACAATCTGAGCCTCTGATAGATTTTATGCATGTGTTGGGATTCTCCCAGCTACCTCTGGGGACCTGATTCAAACTAAGGTAATTCTAAGGCACCCCAAACTGTAAGCTACTGTTATTGTTTATAATTCCAGGCATATTAGAATGTCTCTCTTCCCCATGCTCTGTACCATTTTTGCTACCCAGAAGAATTCAAAGCAGCCACTGAGGAGGATCCTCTTCTGTCTTTACCATGTTCAAATCGTGTTTCTCAAGCCCTGGAGCCCACTGGCAAGGTAAGACTGGGGAATAACCCAAAGTGAATGGCAGCTTCCAAAGTCACATGACAGGCAGTGTAAACGTCTCCTGGGAAAGCTTGTTTGATAGACTGAGAGCCCATCTGGATTATCCCTGTTAATAGTGCCTACAACTGTGGCAGAAAATTATAGTTGTTGCCTTTGACTAACCTTGAAGACAACATTTGTGGGGACACAGTTCACTCCTCCTGCCTCTGTCTTTCCTGTCACTGGGGTCACAGGTGCACCCTGCTCATTTTCCTCCTTCTACTTAAAGAACCCACAGGTTTTACCTAGTTGACAGGGTGCCTTGGAGTGAGGAAACTGTCTACTCCTAGGGAAGGTGTCCCTGTCATTACTCAGACACAGTGAGGACCAAATCCATGGGGAAGTGGACACTTTGGGATGGAGCCTTGACAGCCTGTGGCTACGGACCTGTGCCAATGGCTGGTAGGCAAATGGATGAGTAGTTCCGTTGTTCACATTCTTCCAAAACACAGGAAACTGATCTCTTCACGTCATTCCCACCATCAACGTGAATAATACTCTTGCATCTCAATGATCCACCTTGAGTAACTATGTACTCACTGTTCTGCTGAGCTGTGAAACAGGAGCAGATTCAGAGTCAGACGCTGACCTGCGCTTGGAGAAAGCAAGATGTCTGATTTCACGAGGAAACATTTTATGAATTAAAAGCTTATGAAATACTACACATTGTGAAATTTTTGACTGAATTTTCTTAACTGTGAGATAACTTTCCACTTATAACTTTCTTTCATATGGAATTCTTTCATAAAATATATGATCTTAAGATGAATACAGGAGTCTCAAAACAAAAGAAAACCAAAACAGATTAATACATTGTTTTCCCAGCCCCAGGCCCTTCCTCGGTTTCCTCACTGCCTCCCACAGTCAATCTTCCCCTTCCAATCCAGCTCCAAGAAGCAGCATCATTCCTTACCCAAGACAGAACATTCTTTCTCCACACTTGGTCCTGCACCTTTCAAAATTGCTTTGGAGACTCCTACATGAGAAAATCAAGACAGTGATCTGACCAGAAAGACACCTTTGTGTCTCAACACACCCTGTCATAAAGTAGTAAGGACAGAGGAGACATTTTCAACAATGTTGCCAGTTGTAAGAAAGCCCATTGAATAACTTTATAGATATTAGTTAACAGGAACAAGCCCAAGTTGACAAAAAACATTCTGTCTATAGAAACACTTCTTCATAGGATCTACCACACTGATTACTGCAAGAGACAGAATCCATCTCACCAAGTACCTGATTTGAGATCAAATGTGTTTGATGTTGAATTGACAATCACATCTGCCATTTCTTTGGTGATGTCCCCCATGGCCACTTGGAAGAGGATTGGGCCAATATTCATTTCATACACTCCTAAAGTTGGGCTTGAGAGACTCCCATAATAACCTGCCCAGAGAAAATAAAAAACAGAATCAGGCACCAGAAGCAAGAATAGCTGAGGTCACTGGCTGCTCTATCACTGCCGTTTACTGTGGTCCTGGGTCTGGGCTGGAACAAGAGGATGGCTTGAGTTTAGGATTTTGGGGCCATCCTGGGCAACATGGCAAAACCCTGCTTCAAAACAAAGCTCCAGTGAACTCAAACAAGATGAACTCAGAAAGAACAAACCACATGTAACAGAGAAGTATTGGCTTGTATAGTCTCTCAAGGTGTTTCTTGGAAAACACATGTCACATGATTCATTGAAGGTGGTTGAAGGCGTAAGTCACGAACAAGGCCACACCAGTTTGGAGTTATGATTAATAGGGTGTTATTTATTTAAAGGGGAAAAAACTTACAGATCACCATCCCAGACAACAGCCATCTGCACAACCAGGAAGGGAGTCTAGTCTCCGGCGGAGCAGGAAGCGAAGAGAGCGAGCAGAGGAAATAGCCACTTTTTTAAAGGGAGAGAGACCACGCCCCAGTGGGCTGGTATCACAGCAGCTATTGGTTGGAGGGGCGGAAGGACCTCCCGCAACAGGTGGTAGTCTCATCAGCAATTTAAAAATCTCACTGTACAGATTATATAATCTGGCCCCCTTTCCCTTTTTCCCCAAGTCACTTAAATAGGCCAATGTCTTTTGTATTCACATGCATAGAATATTATTAATTCTCATTTAATATGTTCCATAGTTTGAGTTATCAGAGAAATGATCACCATCATCCTTTCCCTGTCATTGAACAGTTACTTGGTAACAAGAAATCACTGGTCAACTTAAACACTTTACTGTACCTTGGGTGTCACTTGGATTTCCATGACTCCTTTTGTCAAATTCATCTGAAAATGCCTGGAAACACAAACACAGCTTTAACCATTAAACTTCTATGCAATCAGTGATTTTGAATCCTGGGAGTTTTTGATTCTGTATGCACACATGTAGTGATGTGTATCATAAAGCCGTTGTGCCTGGCTTTGAGTGACATGTTTCAGGAAAGCCTTCGCTATGTTTGGGCTGATTGGTAGAGGCTGAGAATTGTTTTGAGACTGCTTCAACCTTGAAGAAATGTTGTCTATCTGGAATCTCTGCACTTGGTGCTCTGTGAGAGCTTGCAGCTTTACTGACCTTGGTCTGAAGACACTCCTGGAATCCTGGAGTTGTTACTTCAGTCTATGGCATCCCATAATATGTGGGCTGTCTGCTCTCAAGGGCAGCAACAGCAAGATGACTTCGGTAGTTGGAACATTTCCCAGCCCCTATTAACCTTGTATATGTTTGCATAAAGTAACTAGAGTGAGATAGTGTGAGCTGGTGTCAGTGTCTTCCAAGAAGAGTGAATCCCTCTACTCGTTCAGAAAATGAAGACTTGGCATCTTGGTGAGCTTCTCTCTCTTCTATGGCAACTATAGCAGGATTCAAACAATATACATACACATGATTGGAAAATAGTAGCCCTCAAACAGTAGTATTTAATTTACCTCAATATTTTAAAGTTATAAAAATATACATATTGGTTGGGAAGTAGTGGTGCACGCCTTTAATTCCAATACTTGGGAGGCAGAGGCAGGTGGATCTCTGTGGGTTTGAGGCCAGCCGGGTCTACAAGAGCTAGTTCCAGCACAGGCTTCAAAGGTACAGAGAAACTGTATTTTGAAAAACTTATATATAAATGGAGGCAGAGGCAAGTGGATCTGAAATTTGAGGCCTCCCTAGTCTACAGAGTGTGTTCCAGGACAGCCAGGCCTATATAGAGAAACTCTGTCCTGAAAAATGAAACATCAGAAAACAAAATGAAAGACAAAGTATACATACACTTTTTACATATATGTCTTGTAAAATACAGATGTGAACAAAGTTGTAAATATTATTAACTAGAGCGATGTTATAACAAAAAACAGACAGTTAAAATTCAATGGAGGAATAATTCTACACTTTCACATGCCCATGTGTTAAAACAGTAGCCAATAAAAATTATACTTTCAAAAACTATTTAGTGGAATGTAGAAATGTTTATTTTATACTTTCAAGTGGAAAGGATATTAAATTGCATATTTACATCTTCTCACCTAGAATCATACAGCAGAGGAGAGTGAGACAAGGCTGACTAAACTATCTCTGCATTTTGTGCTACTCAGTGTGTCTGCATTAAAATGCATTGCCTTCTTAACCAAATAGCCCAGAGAAGCTGTACCTAGAAGCCACGTTCAGACCTTCGACTCCTGCTCTTCAGTCTCTGTCCCAGTATCCGCTCACAAGCAGCTCTTTTTGTAAATGAAATGAGTTTAGATGTCTTTAAATCTTGATCATGTTTGGAGGATAAATAACAGCATTTAAATGTGTTAAAGGTGTTGGTAGAGACTAATCCTTTTCATAGATCTATAGAGTATTCTATGTATTAAAGAAAATGAGACCAGTTGGGTGGTAGTGGCAGCACCTTGAATCCTAGCACTCAGGAGGGAGAGGAATAGGATTATGAGTAAAGGTCAGCACAGTATATACAGTGAGTTGCAGGACAGACAGACAGAGCTACACAAAGAACACCAGTCTTGAAAAACTGAGAGAGAGAGAGAGAGAGAGAGAGAGAGAGAGAGAACAACCTTTTCCTAATAAAGTTTGGGAGAGTCAAGTCTATGAGACAGGATTCATCCCTATTCATGCAAACATTGAAGACATTAATATCACACAAAAATCTCAGCACCTCCACCTCCTGTTCACGTTGTATACAGAAATCTAAACTTCAAAAGTAGTGATGACTTCTAGAAGGGAGAGCATGTGCTACAGCAATGCCCACATCGCCTTACACCATGATGTCACAGGGAAACTACTTAAAACTATTAATAGTTGAGCAAGTACATACTTATATTCCCAGTATTCTGGAAGCTGATTCAGGAGGATTGCCATGAAAGTGAACAGTCTGGACTGCTTAGCAAGATCCTGTCTAAAAATAACCTAAGCAAACAAACAAACCTCACCATGCTTGTTACTCCAAGCTGAAGGTGTTGGGAGCTTTGGCTGCCCAATTAGAATGTAGGTTCCCTGTGCTTGCTTCCATGAATTTATAGGTAGTGTCTAGATCTGGATAATAATGACATAGGACCTAAAAATTCCAACAGCCCAATCCACGGGCATCTGTGGGCTGTCACCTTTACTGTGACATTGTGGAAACTCTTCTAACACTAAGATCATGTGCTCTACTGGATTATAAAGACATGGAGAACAGAAATCAGGCCTTAGAGTCAGACCACATTGCCGTAGCTGATGTGACACACTGTGACCGAGGATGATTCTAGTATTTCTGGTCCAAGTGTCCTAAGTCACAAGGGGACGTGTTCAAGCCACATCCTTCATTCAAGATTAATTACATTTCCAGAAATGCAGCTAGAATCACCTGCATCCCCTCCTGGAATTCTCAAATTGTTAATGCCATAACTGTGCCTTTATATTATGTATTAGCATTTTTATGTCCATAGGAGAGGCAACCCTATAGACTGATAAAAACAATGGGTATTACAATGTGTGAGCCTTACTTACCTGATTATACAATGAGTATTACAACGTGTGATACCTATCTGATTCTGATCCATACATAAGGATGGAGAGATGGAGAGGCATTCATGAGACAGCTGTAATCTCACACATTAACTCTATCATTGACCACACAGAGGGATGACTGCATTTCAAGGTGTGTTTAGTGGTAAGATTATGTTCAAAATGAATTGGTGAATTGTTTAGAGACAGAATCTTGTGTCAACATTACATGTGAGAAAAAGATCAAACACCCAGCCACAGAGCAATAGCAGTTGAAACTAAATAACAGATAGAGAACTTCATTAGGTTGGTTTATGGACTTTTGTGGGTGTTTGAAACTTTCCAGAAAAAGAATTGTTTTTTTTTCTATATCTATCATTTTTGAAATTTGTCGTAGTACATATAACCAGTCAGCACACTTTCCTGCACTGAAAACACTTTGTTTCATCAAACCTCCTATTAGATCAAGAAGATGCAGAAGAACACAGGTCTCGTACTTCAGTTGGCAAAGAGATCAGAAGCAAGCCAAATCTGTACCTGAATGTTTTCCACGTCTTTCGGGTGCAGCAGAAACTGAACTTCCTGTAAAGTTTTCAGTTGGTTCTTGCTACTAAACTTGAGCACTTCTGAAATTATCAATTTAGCAAATTCAGGTTTAGGAAACCTCAGATTTCCTGTTCCTATTGCTGGAAATCCAATTGATTGCAGAGACAGTGCCTCAGCGGTTCCTAGACAGTCTCTGATGATGTTTTTCATGATCTGAAAACACAGAGCACTTCCTTAAATGTCTTCTTAAAAATGAGGGACCCTAAAAAGTAAGCACTCAGCAGCTTTTCCTGGGAGCACTGTCCACTCTATTGTGCTTTCAACAAAAGTTAGCAGCAGTGTGAGGGGAAACTGTGGAGAAGAAATGAGAAAGAGAACGTGGACACCCTTACAAGAGCACAGACTCACTCCACCATAAGCAAAGAGGGGAAGCCACAGCTGTCCCAGTCCATCACTGTCTCCCAGCTTCAAGTCCTCACCTTACCTTTCCTCCATAAATGTAGTATATTCCCCCAACCCTTCCCTGACCATCAGTAATTGCTGAGCACAATAACCAACTTACATTTCTAACTATGACCTATAAGAACTATGACCTACAAGAAGTCATCTACAACTGAAAAGAAATGGCCATGGCATGGGACCTGCCAGACTCATGATGCTGGCCCAGAGAAGAAGCAGACAGGGACTGATGTGGGAGCCTTCTGTTTTATGTTGATTTCATTGGTTAAATAAAGAAACTGCCTTGGCCCTTTGATAGGACAGAAAATTAGGTAGGTGGAGTAGACAGAACAGAATGCTGGGAGAAAGAAGCCAAGTCAGGCAGTCGCCATGATTCTCCCACTCCAGACAGACGCAGGTTAAGATCTTTCCTGGTAAGCCAGTTCGTGGTGCTACACAGAATATTAGAAATGGGTTAGATCAATATGTAAGAGCTAGCCAATAAGACGCTGGAACTAATGGGCCAGGCAGTGTTTAAAAGAATACGGTTTTCCGTGTAAATATTTTGGGTAAAGCTAGCTGGGTGGTGGGAAGCGGCCCGCCGTTCCTTACAGCAAGAGAATAGCTGTGGTGTGCTGTATGGGAGTCCAGAGAGCTACCCCATGTCCTGGAGAATGTAAAGCTGGGTCCTACCTTTAGTGACCATGCAGTGTCGTTGACTTTCCACTGTGGAACGACCACATGAAATACGTGGTGGCAGTTCAGGTTACAGCCACTGGTTTGTAGGATTGTGCCTTCCTTAACAGAGACCCCCTGTCCTGCTTCATTCAGTTCCTTCTGGAGTTTTGGCCCGGCCTTTTCCAGTAAAGCCTTAGAAAGGGGTCCTTTATTGAGTGCAAGATCCGAGGGAATGGAGTTGACAACGACATCAGTCTTTAAGACAAAACCAAAGATTCCTTTCAAATTCTTAGTAAAGGCATTCATCAACCATGATTACATTTGAGCCACTGGGCTTGGCAAAGGAAGACAACAGTTTCTTGTACATTTTGTGACTAAGGTTCAGAGAAACAAAACTCATAAAAGTCAGAGTGGAAACAATTCAAATGTCCATTGGCTGGAAAAACAAATGTATCTTCATCTAATAGGATATTATGCAGCCATTAAGAGGGATAAAAACTAATATAAGCTACAGTACGGGCAACTGCTGAAAGAATTCCCATTAGTGAAAGATACTGGTCACAGATGACACAAATATATTATTTCATTTACATGAAACTTCAATAACAGGTGAATCAGTAGAGCCAGGTGTTGGGGCACACACCTTTAAACCCAGCAGTCAGGAGGCAGAGGTAGGTGGATCTCTGTGAGTCTAAAACCAAACTGGTCCACATTGCAAGTCCCAGGACAACCAGAGCCATGACTAAACCCTGTTTCAAAAAGAAAATTAAAACAAACAAACAAACAACAACAGAGTAGATTAGATGTTCTCTAGAGCTAGGAGGGGTGGGGTGAGCAGGTGGATAAATTGCGAGTAGCTACTAGGGAACACAAATTTCTTTCTGGTGGGATTAGAGTGCACTACAGTTAGATTGCAGGCATGGATGCATGATTGTGGTTTTACACACACACACACACACACACACACACACACACACTTATGTTCACACTGTAAGAATTATCCCTGCCTGAGCTCCAACACTGAGATGGTCCATGTTTATTTTTAGTGAATATACTGAAAACTACTGATGTGCCAACTTGAGTGTGAACTGTGAGTTATATAACACTGTTTAAAGAAAAAAAAATATTCAACTGTTAAAATGATGTTTAGCTTTTCTCAGCTTAGCCTGTGGAAACATGCTGAAGCAGCATGTCCAGGTGAAAAGGTTCAATTGTGGGGCTGGGGAGATGGCTCAGTAGGTAAGAGCATTGACTGCTCTTCCAGAGGACCCAGGTTCAATTCCCAGAACCCACATGGCAGCTCACAACTGTCTGTAAATCCAGTTCTAGGGGATTGAACACTCTCATATAGACATACATGGAGGCAAAACACCAATGCACGTGAAATAAAAATAAATATACTTTTGTTTCAGTTGCATCACTTGGTGGTCACAAGACACCAAGACATGTTCTTGGTGGATGCTTAGAGACACTTTCTCTTGAAAACAATTCAAGGGAAGACAGGGTTACAGGATCTAGTTCATGCCTATATCCCCAGTGTGTGTGTATGTGTGTGTGTGTGTGTGTTTAGGACTGAGACAGGAGGATTGCTGAGGCTTCCCGGGTGCCAACCTATCCAAAAAACTTTAGTCTCCTGCAACAAATTCACAAAACAAGAATTGTCCTTACATGACTTCCAACATCTGGACCTTCCTCCTGCCCACCCACTCTTTCCTCACAAAGGGCCCACAGATGGGATCCGGGAACTGAGCTCCGCCCGTCCACTCCAACACCCAAGGTCACCCTTACTCGTGTCATTGGTTAAATCCTATCCCCTGCATTCCCCATGCTCTCCCACACCTGTAACTGACAGAAGCCAGCACTAGATGGAGCAGACACGACAGATGGGAAATGATGAAGATGAGGAGAGCCGTGCAGTGTCCCCTACTATGGACCACAGTTACCGGGAAGGAGTGACCCATCCCAGAGCCCTTTAGATCCTTACAGACATACCAATCTCTACTCCTAAGTGATTTGGGAAGAAGTAAAGTGTCCATGGAAAATGTCTGAGGGTCATTTTCCTCACTCTCCTTTCCTTCCACCCTGTCTTCCTTGGGCCCTCAATAAAGCTGGCAGAGACCAGTGACATCGCAGAACATTGTTGGTGAGAGGGACACTCACCTTAGCATTCTGCACACCTTCTTCCACCAGCCGGATTTTCAGGCCTTCTGGGGACACCAGCACATAGTCCTGTGTCTGCGGTGTCTGTGGTGTTTTTTCAGGTGACACTAATTCTAACGCTGATAAACTGGACTGGGAAGCTGTTGGGGAGAGGGAGGCTTTATATGTAGTTTCTACAGCTTCAGCAAAGGCTCCAGCAACCTTTGCAGATATGTCCACCAGATAAATCTTTTTCAAGGTGCGCCTGTCTGTCTGGCGTTGGAAGTTGTCTTTGATGGCTGAAACAATGGTGGCCACACACAGGTCTAAGGGAAAGCCAAAGATTCCAGAGCTGATAGCTGGCATGGCTATGGATTGACACTTGACCTCCTCAGCTAAGGTGAGACTTCGTTCCACAGCTCTCTTCAACAGGCTCACGCACTCCTGGGCCTTATTTCCGTCCCATCGAGGCCCTACTGCGTGGATGACATGATGGCAAGGGAGCTTGCCTGGTTTTGAGATAACCGCGTTGCCAATTAGGACCACACGACCATTTCTCACTATTTTGTCACATTCTGCTTGAAGTTCAGGACCAGCTGCATTTGAAAGAGCGAGGGCCAGACCATCAATGTGTTTCAGATTCTTGTTTGCTGCATTCACAACCACATCGGCAGGAAACCGAGCCAGGTCTCCCTGCTGTACAATCAGCGTGACTCCAGGGGCTATGTCCTTCTGTAAGAGGCACTTCTGCTCTTTAAGGCTGCCTTTGTCCTTCTCTGCTCCCTCCTGGAGCTCAATGATGCATCCATACAGGCGTTTGATCTCACTTTTGTAATAGGATGCTTTGTCCTGGAAGAAGTGCCTAGCACCAGGCTTATCAATCTGGAACCTTTTAATGCAGACTGAATCCCGGATTTGCCTGACCATGTCCACGCATTCTAGAACTTTACTCTTGGAGCCAGTTAGTAGAATGCCTTTTGGTTCATCTTCCAGCTTAAAATATGCCTGCACATTGGCCTTCTTTATCTTTGCCTGGAATAGCTTCTTGTCTGCCCTTAAGTACTTAATAATCAAGACTTGTTCAATTTCAACCAGTCTTTCAATTTCCATGGTGTTTTCCAAGAACTCAAAAAGTTGTCCATGGATTTCATTTACTTCTTTCACACAGCCTGCAATGATGACCTCTGCCTGGGTTCCTGAAGTTAATTCATCCTTTATCGTAATGCATGCAGTGGAGGAGTGTCTTTTTTGCAGCGAGTGAATTTTCTTTTTCCACACATTGCCTCTGAAAACTTCCTTGTCTTCAACTTTAATGATTTTATAACTCAAAGCATCAAGCATTTTCTTCTCTGCTTCTGCCAGGGCTCTGAAAGAACAGGCCGTCAAGAGAAGAGCTGTACCTTTCAGTTCAGACATGGCAAGAATTTTCTGTGCTTCAAAAAGAGTCTTGGAGAATTCCTGACTGCCTACTTGCTGCAGAAACATGAAGACTTCAGAAGGAATCAGGACGTCTTTCTGAGGCATGGAATACACCTTTTCTAGGATGTCACACTTTACTTTATACACATCTGCACGGAATCCCTTAAAGCACAGGTGCTGAGTGGCAGCATCGTAATGAATCTCCATCTCTGGGTTCTCTTTCCTTAGATCATCCAGGAAACCACTGTGTTGCAAAAGAAAATGTTTCCCCGGAGAAATGGCCACTTTCTCCTTCAGGCTCTGTTCAATCTGGTTTTCTACCCTAACAATATTTGTTGTTTCCAGAAGTCTCGGGGAAAGCTGCAGCTGTCGGTTCGAATAGTAATGGATACGATTACTAATAAATTTTTTGGTATCTACAAAACAAAAGTAAAATGAGAAAATTTTGATGACATCTCTACATGGTATAGAAGAAATGGCTTGGCTACAACTCAGAAGGGGGACCTAGCTAATTGTATTTTCTGCTACTGAGCTGGCCACAGCCAACCCTCCAGAGCACACTCCTTACAATGCCACCCCACTCCCCATTTTCTCAAGACCCTTGTTGCCCACTATGGCAGCAGGTAGGAGCCCACATCCACAGCCAGGCTACTAACTCCAAACACACATCCAAGAAGCACTTTCAGTTTATTTTCATGTTGCCACAAAAAAAAAAAAAAAAA